AAAAAAAAAAAAAAACAGATAACAAAACCAAAAATAGACAAATTGGACTATATTAAAATTTTAAAAAATTCTGCACAACCAAGGACAACAGTGAAGAGACAACTTGTTGAATGAAAGACAAGATTTGCAAACTATTCCTCTGACAAAGGAATAATATCCAGAATATATAAGGGAACTCAAACAACTCAAGATTAAGAAAGCAAATAACCTCATTAAATAGCAAGCAAAGAATATGAATAGATATTTTTCAAAAGAAGACATACAGAAGGCCAACAAATATGTAAAAAATAATCAACATCACGAATCATCAGAGAAACGCAAATGAAAACCACAATGAGCTATTATCTTACCCTAGTTGGAATGGCTATTAGTAAAAAGACAAAAATAACAGATGCTAATGAGGATGTAGAGAAAAAGGAATTTTTTTTCTTTTTGAACACTGTTGGTGGGAATATAATTTAGTACAGCCACTGTGAAGGACAGTAAGCAGATTCCTCAGAAAACTAAAAACAAAACTACCACTTGATCTAGCAATCCCACTACTGGGTACTTATTCAAAGGAAAGGAAATCATTCTATCAAAGAGATACTCCCATATTTACTGCAGCACTTCTCACAATAGACAAGATGTGGAATCAACCTAAGTGTCCATTAGTGGATGAATGGATAAAGTAAATGCGGTATGTATATACAATGGAATATTTCTTGGCCGTAAAAGAGAATGAAATCACGTTATTTGCAGCAACATGTATAAAACCAGAAGTCATTATGTTAAGTGAAATAAGGCAAGCACAGAAAGACAAATGTCACTGTCACTAATATATGGGAGCTAAAAAAGTTGATCTCATGAAGGTATAAAGTAAAATATATATCAGAAGATGGTGAGGGTGTGTGGGTTGGTGTGGAGGAGTGGGGATGAAGAGAGGTTGGTTAATAGGTACAAACATACAGTTAGATAGAAGGAGTAAGTTCTAATGTTTGCTAGGCAGAGTAGAATAACTACACTTTACACATTGTATTTCATATTTCAAAACAGGAAGAAAGAACTTCAAATTTTCCAAACACATAGAAATGATAAATTCTCGAGGTAATGGATTCCCTAAATACCTTCACTTGATCATTACACATTCTATGCATGTAACAAAATATCTCATGTACCTCATAAATAGGTATAAATATTTTATCTGAATAAAAAGGTATCCTGAATACCTTTAGCTCCCACTTATAAGTGAGAACACGTGGTATTTGGTTTTCTGTTTCTGTACTAGTTCACTTAGGAAAATGGGCTTTAGCTGCATCCATGTTGCTGCAAAGGATATGATTTCATTTCTTCATGGCTGCATAATATTCTTATTCTATGATCCGTCTCTTTTTTTATGTTCTGTTGCAGGTAAACTCTTGGTTGCAAGATGTTTTGTTTCCAGGACTTGAAGAAGGAATTCGTGTGAAGTCAAATGTCTCATATCTATAGACGTTCAGTAAATCACCCTGTTTTCAGCCCCACATCTCACTTTTATCCTCCATTGTACCTGATTTTTTAAAGGTTCTGTGTAACAGATTGTGTTATCTTTCTAGATGTATTGACACTATTTATGCATATTTTGGCTGCTTCAACACTGGTTTATTATTGTTATAAAATTTGTTGGCTTGTTTACTGTCTTCTAGGAATTCGTTAAAAGCTCTCAGGTGTCTTGCTCTAGAAGAGTATATCGGGAAGTTTCTACATAACTAGAGGGTTAGAATTGACTCTTAAGAGGTCTGAATGCTGATTCAATTCACCTTTCATCAATCCTTATCTCTACTTTATTTTATTGCTCCTTCTTTCTTTCTTTTTTGAGGTTTTGCTGAAGATATTCATCTTCATCATCCCAGGTGCCACACTACAAGAATGATTCAGTTGACAGCTACCCCTGTGAGTGCACTTGTTGATGAGCCAGTGCGTATCCGAGCTACAGGCCTGACTCCCTTTCAGGTGGTGAGTTTTAAGGCATCACTGGAAGACGAAAAGAGAAATATGTTTTATTCTCAAGCCCACTATAGGGCCAATGAATTTGGTGAGGTGGACCTGGAGCATGCTTCTTCACTTGGAGGGGATTATGTGGGAGTCCACCCCATGGGTCTCTTCTGGTCCCTAAAACCCGAAAAGCCATTAAAAAGACTGTTGAAAAGAGATGTGATGAATAGCCCCTTTCAGGTCCAATTAAAACTTTATGACTTAGAGGCACTACCGAGCAGTAAAGCTACCAGTGCTCCAAAGGCCAGCCTGACTCTGAAGAGGTGGTATGTGGCACCTGGTGTCACACGAATTCAGGTTCGAGAAGGCCGCCTTCGAGGAACTCTCTTTCTCCCTTCAGGTGAGTAGAATTTCTCTGTTTATTGTTATTCTTGTTTTTCCATTTTAAATACATTATCCCTCTAGAAATTTAGCTTGAATATGGATAATACACTTGCTTCCTGCCTTACAATCAATGTTAATCTTGGGTCAGAACAAGAATGTGGTAATATTCCACTCCAACTCAAGTTTCATCTCAGCAATTCTGAACCTTGTCTAAGAATGTGACTACATATAGTTTACAGAGTTCCTACATTATGGGATTTACATAGCTTTGGATTTATGCTAAATTTTTCTGCATTGAAGTCTGGCTATATGAAGACCCCTCATCCCGATGCGATGGAAACCATATCCCAGATCCTTGTGCAGGCTCTGTCAGGCTGAGTTTCAGTTTAGGCACGGGGTTATTACCTTGTTTCCACAACAAGCTTGAGATTAGATGGACTGAAAGACTGCAGCAAATATAGAGAATGCAAAGAAACTTTGTACACTCTAGTTTCATAAATATTACATATTTATAGACTATTCCATGAATCAGATAATATAACATGCTTCCTAATGGTTACAAAACTTATTGGAACACTCATAGTTTCCCACAGAAATCTCCAAATACCAATAAGTAACTTGTTTAAACATCTCTTGGTACCTTTCTCAGAAGAAAAGAAGCAATAAAAGCTTTCCTTTCCAAATTCACCACAACCCATGCATTTGTTCAGATAAATTTGAATTTTTAAAATACCCAGTAAATAGCATGTAAACCACTTTATTATGTGTAGGAACCAAGAATTAAATAGCACAAATTGCTGTGCCTCTATTATCCCATTCCAGTTAAAAATCTGTTTATTGGTGCAGGCCTTCCATCTTCGAATGATGTGCTGGCGTAGAGTGTGCTGTTTGTGAACACTCTTGAACGATGCATGTGCTGGGTCTCTTGCTTCAAGTGTGTTTTCTATAGGGGAAACAAAAGAGAGTTGAGTTGTGTGAGGCCATAAGGAGGTTGAGTCAGATCACAAATATTTCTTGATGGCAACATTCTTCCAAGATAAAAGACTCAGTACTTTTAAGTGTTCCCCATTCTTGTGAATCAGAAGGTCAAAATGTCCTTATTCATTTATGCAAATGATAATTTATAACTAAGATATATTCAACATCACTTTATTTCTTCTTTATTCAATGTAGTTAGTTATAGTAATTTTAAAAAATTCCCAGTACCCCTTTAAATCAAGCCACTCCTTTCAAACTTGGATAGGATCGGTCTGGCTTAGTTAAAACCACTTATAAAAGAATAGAATATCCCTAATAAGTGCATTGTAAATTTCTTTCAGTGTGTGGGTTCTGCTTGGTTTTGGAAAAAAGTGGCCTATATGGAGTGAGTGTAGAGTGATACTCTGGCCGTCCCTACTTTTTACCATGTGTCAGCCTGCAGAAAACGAGCATGGTGTTATCTAATAAAAGGGCTCATCATTACACATGCTTAGGTGTAAGATTTCTCACTGTACAGTCAAATGAGTATAACAGAGCAGTGTTAAGTCAGGATTTTAGTGAATACAACCATTTCAAAATTTTTTTTGAACTGTATATTTCTTTGAGAACCAAGTTAAACCTGTGGAACCTCTCATAAGTAAAATTCACCTATAAATACATATATATACTGTATGTGTGTGTGTATATATATATATATATATACCATATTTAGCATAGATTGTAATTTCAGAATCTTCATGGATTTCCTAAAGCCTATTTGTAAACTTCTTTATAGGTTAAGAAGCCCTGGCCTTGGCTGGGCGTGGTGGCCCATGCCTATAATTCCAGCACTTTGGGAGGCCGAGGGGGGCAGATCACGAGGTCAGGAGTTCAAGATGAGCCTGACCAACATGGCAAGACCCTGTCTCTACCAAAACTACAAAAAAAAAAAAAATTGGTTGGGCATGGTGGTGCACACCTGTAGTCCCAGATTCTCAGAAGGCCGAGCCAGGAGAATTGCTTGAACACGGGGGCAGAGGTTGCAGTGAGCCGAGACTGCGCCCACATACTCCAGCCTGGGCGACGGAGTGAGACGCCGTCTCAAAAACAACAAACAACAAAAAAAGAAGCCTGGCCTAATTTCTATGCCTTCCTTTACAACAAGAGTATAGAAACTAATGTGAATTCTCATCTCCTCGGCTGCAGATAGTAAATATGTCAGTGAACGTAGTTCCCAAACATTTAGGTGTTGTGTTCCATTATGTATTCATTGGGCCTTAATTCTGCCTCAGGTAGAAGGCTAAAAGTGTTGGAACTGTACTTGAAAATTTAAATGTTAATTTCAAAATTACATTTGAAACGTAATTTTGCATTTCTGCTTTGTGTTCTCATGCTTTTATTACCTTTTTCACACCTTCTCTTCATGTACCATTCTGTTTTGTTTTGTTATTTTTCAGGAGAGGGTCAATTCCCAGGGGTAATTGATTTGTTTGGTGGTTTGGGTGGGCTGGTTGAATTTCGGGCCAGTCTGCTAGCCAGCCGTGGCTTTGCCTCCTTGGCCTTGGCTTACCATGACTATGAAGACCTGCCCTCCGATCCAGAAGTAACAGATTTAGAATATTTTGAGGAGGCTGCCAACTTTCTCCTCAGACATCCTAAGGTAATTTTTACTTTTTAGTAGGTTTGAATCCCTGAGTTTTTAAAAAATTAATTTTTAATTTTTTTATTTTAAGAGACAAGGTCTTGCTCTGTCACGCAGGCTGGAGTGCAGTGGCATGATCTGGCACTTGGTCAGAAGCCAGTGCCTTTTGATACTACAATGGGCACAGGCTAACTTCCTATGCATTTTGTCTTTCTGAGCAAAAGACACTGGATAAGAAATAAATCATGTGAATTATAAATAACATGGGCATGAATAGAATTTCAGTTTCACTGAGAGAGAATCATACTTGGAAGTTAAGAGAAGTCATAGGATATTATGGTTATTTTTTTTAAAAGATACTGGCTGTGTGTGATGTCTCAAGCCTGTAATTCTAGCACTCTGGGAGGCCAAGATGAGAGGATCAATAGAGGCCAACAGTTCAAGACCAGCCTGGGCAACATAGTCAAACTCTGTCTCTATAAATACTAAAAGAATAGCTGGGTGTAGTAGCAGATGCCTGTAGTCCCAGCTGGAGAGGCTGAGGCAGGAGACTTGCTTGAACCTGGGAGGCAGAGGTTGCAGTGAGTTGAGATTGCACCATTGCACTCCAACCTGGGCAACAGAGAGAGACTCAGTCTCAAAAAATAAAAATAAAAATAAAAATTAAAAAATACAGAATTTCAGAACATGAAAGGATCTTTTAATTGATTTAAGCCACCCCTCTTAAATATACAGGGTAGGAAATAGAGAGTACATATAACTCATTCCATTTGTTTAGTTTTTTTCTCTCTTACCTTAAGAATATCTAACCTTTCCATTGGTTTGGCATGAATTGTACATTTATTCACGTGTTTCTAAGTAGTAGAGAAAATATCCCAAACATTGGTTTATAAAATGCCTTTAAAATATAGGAGATCAATTAAAATAAATATAGGAAGTCAACAAAGGTTTTAGAAAAGTGATGCTTCTCTCTGAGACTCTGTCCTCGCCAGGAGCCAGTGCTCGAGGAGAATCAGAGCTTCATTTTGTGGCATAAGAAACAATTTTCTTTAACTCCTTCTCCTTTGAATTTCCAACCAAATTGGTAAACGGGAGCAATACACTCAATACTCAAAAATAACTCATGAGCACGTGGGTTTCTTTTCAGGTTTACTGGTGTTAGCTTAGTTCAGGACATCATAATTTACTGCTTATGCCAGTGAAATAAGCTATGGCTTTTCTGCCTCCATTTGTGCAAGCCAGAGTTGTAAGACGGGCCTTCCCAGAGCACAGCTATTTTACTCACTTGGCTTAAGAGTCTCCCTATTTATTACAGGACACAGGCCAGGCTTCCTAGCATGTTAGACAAAACTTCCTATGATCTGACTTCTGCATACTTATTCAGTCTTATCTTACGCCCATCTTAAAATTTGTCCTAATTCTCCTCCTTAGTTAGGAAAAGAACTGAAGATGCTTAATACATCTTTCAAAGCTATGCACCATAAAGTTGGTGTTTTCTGTTCCAGACTTCTTATGTTATTTCCCACCTTATACTCTAAAATCAAGTAATGAAGAACTACTCGTGGTTCCTCTAAATGCCTTGCTCTTCATTGCCTCTCAGTTTTTGCATGTGTTTCACCCATGGTGAATGCATTAGGAATGTTTTGGCTACATTTCCCAGAAAAGTGGCTGATGGTGGCTTAAACAATATTGACATAAGGCCTCTTATTCTCTTACATAACAGGTTTGGTGATAGGTGGTTCAAACTTTGATTTAGAAACTCAGTGTAGATTTTGATCAAGGAGATTAGATTGACATTTCTGCAATTTTCTAGCCTTACCCTGAAGGTCACAAAATGACTTTGGCAGTTTCAGGAATTCAGTCAACAGGCCAGCATCTTAGTCTCAAAAGAATGACCATAAACATAGGCTCTCTCTTCATGATTCTGTGTCATTTTGCACAGGGCAAAAACAAAGTCTTTAGGTAGACTATGTTGGCCTTAGAAGAGGGGCTGAGAAAGGGAAATAGATTAGAATCCATCAGAATTTATCCCTTGGAGCTGGATATATTGCTACACTGCACAAAATCAAGGCCATATTAGCCTTGAAATTGTAGAGAATGGCTCTTGTGTAGGCAACTAACAGTGTCTTCTATACTCAGCATAGAATACCATTCCTTCTTGTTGGCTTTCTTTTTCTTTTTATTTTTTGAGACAAGGTCTCATTCTGTTGCCCAGGCTGGGGTGCAGCAGCACAATCATGGCTCACTGAAGCCTTGAACTCCAGGGCTCAAGTGATCCTCCCACCTCAACCTCTTGAGTAGCTGGGCCTACAGGCACACACTGCCATATGCAGCTAATTTTTTTAGTTTTGTAGAAATGCGGTCTCACTATGTTGCCCAGGCTTGGCTTTCATTTTTGATATGAAGACTCATTTTGCAGCCCGTTTCCTCTGAGAGTCTTTCTTTGATCCTGCCATTATTCCCTGCTAATCTGGGTTGGCAGTCTGGCCTATACGCATTCTTAAATCACAGAATTTATGATACTTTAATCACTGTTGTGTTTTTTTTCCTCCTTTCTCTCCATCTGGCAGTGAGTTCCTTAATGACAAGAGATTGTTCCTTTCTTCTCTGTGATTATCAGTGCTTGCTGTAGGGTGGAGGATCTAAGGATGCTTATTTGATGACTGACAATGAGGGACGAAGCTGAGCCAAGCCTCCTTTATGACATTTTTCTCCAAAATAAGAAAACTTTTGGGAAGCCCAAAGCAAATCTAGAATCCTCTGTTGAAATTTCCATGCTCTACCCTACTGATCTCACTTTCTTTCTCGGTCTCTTCCTGCAAGATGCCCTTTCCTCTAAAAGGAGCTCAGAATTGGTGCAAGAAAGTTTAGCAGTCGCTGTACCCTGACCACATTATTCACAATAGTCATGCGCCATTTCTCATTCTCCCCACTACGTTTACATTTTTTTAGGGCGTTTAAAACTCAGAACTGAACACAATACCGAATCCATAATATACAGTCGGTAAAGCTTGAAATGTTTTTGGAGTATTTCTTTTGAACACACAATATATATTCCAGAATTCTATAGCTAGGGTTGTGGGTGGGATTAATACTTGCTTTTGAAGTTCTTTGGTTTTTTTGAGATTGTGGAGTGTTCCTAGAAGAAAGATAGAATAATTTCTCATTTCTATTATTTATTTTCAGGTCTTCGGCTCAGGCATAGGGGTAGTCTCTGTATGTAAAGGAGCAGTGATTGGGCTGTCTATGGCTATTCATCTAAAACAAGTCACAGCCGCGGTACTTATTAATGGGACCAGCTTTAATTTTGGCGTTCCACAGGTATATCGTGGTCAGATCTATCCGCCCCTTCCCTATTCTCCACAATTAATATCCACCAATGCCTTGGGGTTAGTAGAGTTCCATCAGATTTTTAAGGAAACTCAAGTTGGGGCCAGTCAGTATTTTTTTCCCATTGAAGAGGCCCAGGGGCATCTCCTCTTCATTGTGGGAGAAGATGATAAGAATCTCAACAGCAAAGCACATGCTGAACAAGCCATAGGACAGCTGAAGAGACATGGGAAGAACAACTGGACCCTGCTATCTTACCCTGGGGCAGGCCACCTGATAGAGCCTCCCTATTCCCCTCTGTGCTGTGCCTCAATCATGCACGATTTGAAGATATACTGGGGAGGAGAGGTGATCCCACACGCGGCTGCACAGGAACATTCTTGGAAGGAGATCCAGAAATTTCTCAGGAAGCACCTCATTCCAGATGTGACCAGTCAACTCTAAGAAGACTAGATATTCCTAGAAAATAAAGAAGCAAATCTCTTTACCAGAACCTTCTCTCAATTTTCATGGAGGAATGTCCTCCCCCCAACACACACATTTTTTTAAAATTAATTTTGATGATTAAAAAGAGCACAGGGTAAAAACCTGAGATTTCACTTATACTGCATAACAAGCTGACCAAATTGGACATGGTGGATAAATCATAAAACAAATAATTTTACTTATTATTTACATGACTTTTCTTACCATCAGGTTTTCTAAATGGGACTGAGGTATAGTACACTGGCAAAAATAAGAAAAGGCAAACAAGAATAGCACCAAAGTAACAGATACCCAAAACCAAATACCATGTCAGAAAACACCATATAGTAACAATTTATCAGATTAGTGCAGCAGGAGAAAGTTACAATTAATTATTTTAGTGATATTTTTCAACTTCACTACAGTAAATTTGCAACATCATTTTTCATTTGAGGAGTAGTAAAATTCAGGTCAAAAAGGAAAGAAGGAATGGAGCAGGTCAGTTAATTCATTCCAGTAAATTACCTCTTCAGTTCTGAAAAACATGCCCATTAGCACATAACTGAGACACAATAACTAAGACTAGAAGAGACTTGGTTTAAGTTGTGAAGCAAATTCTAATGGAAAATACAAGAAAATGGAACCAATGAGTTTGAAAATGCCCCTTACTGAAAATATGTACTAAAAATAAAATTAATAAAAGTGAAAATAGAAACACGACTCTATTAGTACATACTAGCCTGAGTAGTTTGATGAACTTAGTGATTGGGCCAACTGACACTGTACTTCCATCAGTCATGTTAGAGTAACACACAAATGTGAGCTCTATATGGGCAGGTACTATATTTTCATAAGACCCAAATAGTTACTGTACATCCTATAAATAAAAAACATTTTAGTTTGATATCCAATTGAATATATGAGGACTCCATGTAGTTCAACCACATGGTTGTTTGCTATACAGTCTTGTGCAAATATTAAATTTTTTTTTTTTTGCTGTAAGGCTTTGGTCATATGGTTCTCATAACAACATAACTACCATCTAGCATGTACAACATTTTGTAAGCCTTTAAGTTCAACAATCCATACTGTCAATTTGTGTTATGTCCAAATGCAGTATCCTTGAGGAATATAGTGGGTCAGTTAAATATCTAGAGACCTACAAACATCTGCGAATTCATCCCATTGAGATGGATCATACTGATCTCCATCATCAACTTGCTTTTCATCAGCTTCTCCTACTTCATTCTCCTTATAGTCTTTATCCTGAGGGAATTCTGTATCCTGTCTCTCATCTACACTTTCTTGCCCTCCTGGTTGTGATTTATCTGTACAGCTTACACAAACACCATAGGGTCAAGATCCACGTCTTATTTCAACACTGGCTGCCAACATGATCTTCTTACACACCATACATTTGCATTTTTATCCTTCTTATGCACCAAGAAATGTCTTTTTACATGTTCTCTTCAAGTGTAAAAATAGCACAGCTAAATAATCTCAGTCCTGTATGAATAAGCAAGTGCCTTTTTAGTGTTTGCCTACATTTGGCTGCAGAGCTACAATGATGGCATTTTGACTTATGCATGATTAGAGATGGTGATATAGTTTGTATATTTGTTGTGCCCAAATTTCATGCTGAAATATAACCCCCAGTGTTGGAGCTGGAGCTTGGTGGGAGGTGTTTGGGTCATGGGGGCAGATCCCTCATGGCTTGGTACTATCCTCATGAGAGTATGATAGTGAATGAGTTCTCAAGAGATCTGACTGTTCAAAAGTGTGTGGCACCTCCTCTTCACCCTCACACTCTTTCTTGCTTCCTCTCTTGCCATGTGAGATACCTCCTCCTCCCCGTTCACCTTCTACCATGATTGTAAACTTCCTAAGGCCTCCCCAGAAGCCAAGCAGATGCAAGCATCATGCTTCTGTAAAGCCTGCAGAACCATGAGCCAATTAAACTTCTTTTCTTTATAAATTATCCAGTCTCAGGCATTTCTTCATAGCAACACAAGAACAGCCTAACACAAATGATTCACCATTTCCCCAAGTTTCTTGTTTTGGCCAAGATTCTGGCAATAATCCATATCTGACATCATTTGAAGGACTTGGTATCAACTGATACTTGAAATCATTTGAAGCATCTGATACCAATTAATACTTGAAGTCACTTGAAGTGTCAGGTGTCAAGCCATATTTATTATGAAATCATGTGACATTCTAGCATCACCTCCATCTTGATTAGACCCAGCTTCAGCCAATACAGTCTTATCATCATCTGGCTCAGAGAGTAGAGCAACATCCGCATCTGGTTCTTCCAAGGTTTCTACCCAAATCTGAGTAGCCTGTTTTCCTCTGAAAAGGCAATAGGTGGCTACATCATTGATTAATCTTCCAAATGTGTTTCATTATTAGATGATGTGTTATAAATAAATCTCTTTGTAGTTTGGTTTTTCCTCCGTGTTTCCTGGTATATTGAATTCCCTGGGATCCCATATTATTCCCAGCAAACACTTATTTGACTTTTGGATTCATTTTCAGCCATTTTAGGAGATGCATCCTGGACCCAACTATTGTCATTCACTTAGTTTTCTGTCTGGCCCTAGTTGACATGACAACCATCATTTTCAAGTTTTATATTACTTGCCAAATTGGTAAGATTTAATGTTGCCCCAAAATTGGCAATTTTTGATCCCATGATAAAGACAGACCATCTCTATTAACTGTTTGTTTGTTTGTTGTTTTTGTTTTTGACAGTGTCACTCTGTCACCCAGGCTAGAGGGTAGTGGCACAATCTTGGCTCACTGCAACTTCTGTTTCCCAGGTTCAAGTGATTCTCATGCCTCCCGAGTAGCTGGGATTACAGGCATGAGCCACCACACTCAGCTAATTTTTATATTTTTAGTGGAGATGGAGTTTCACCGTGTTGGCCAGGCTGGCAATTTCAACCGGTTTTGCTATGTACAGCAGACAGATCTTGAACTCCTGGCCTCAAGTGATCCATGCGCATTGGCCTCCCAAAGTGCTGGTATTACAGGCATAAGCCACCCATGCCTGGCCGGGTTTTCTGTTATTATAGTCCATAACTGCAGACCCTGGAACTTCTTCTGATTTAATGCTTATATTTAATCTTTAATAAATTTAGGCATCTTTAATAAAATTTTAGCAAGTTTGAAATTTTACTTGTTTGAAGATAGGCCACTGTCATTATTTTGGCTTGTGAGCACCAGGTTATCAGAATGCAAGACTGAAAATGTTAACTGCAGCAATATCTAAGTGGGTAGTATTATGTTGGTTAGGGCTTTCTTTGCTTTTTTAATGCTATATAAGCTCTTAAAGAAATGGCTGCCAGCAACCAGGATGTTCTAAGGAGCCTTAAAGATGTTCTGCTTACTGCAGTGCTGACCCCACAAAGGGTGCCTTTCTTTCTTGGTTCATTTTGTTGTCACAGAAGTTGACAGCAGTAACAGTTCTCATTTGGTCTACAAGTAAAGTCACAGTACCCCTCCTCTGGTGGTATTTCTGACTCCTTGACATTGGCTTCATAGAGTTTGTACTCAGCAGACATGTGGTGCACACAAGGGAAGGGTTTTCTTGCCATTGTGGGTCCCCCCAAAAGGCTCATCATTCCCCACTTGGGGAAGGTTCAGACCTCCATCATCCATGGGAGTCTTTTGGCACCAACCCCAAGATATAAGACCAGTATCCTTGGAATATTGCAGCAAGGGAAAGTCCTTGAGCTACGAGGTCTGGGAGGAGCGCTGCAGCTTCTGCACTAGAGACTTAGACTGCATGAGTGGGAAGTTCTGGACAGTCTCCCTCACCAGCTCCTACACTGCTGTCCTTCACAGAGGAATGTCTTTGATCACTTATTGTAAGAAGGAAGTCACAGCTAGAGAAGGGAAAGAGGACTGAGAATGGCCACCTTAACTTTAAAAGGGAAAAATGGTTTCCATTTAACCCAATATCATACACTAAGAATCCCATATTTGTAGAAATAAACTTAGAGTCCTACCTGACCTAAAACATTCCAGTTTACAATCATAGCAATACATAAAGGAAAAAAGCTACCACTGAAAAACCACAGAATGCCCTGGCTTACAAAACAGATGTGAAAACAATCACAGGTTAACATTTGTTGATGTCCTAAAACTCAAATTAAATATGCTTAGTGCTCTCATATTTGAAAATGGTAATGCAATTGTTATTGGAAAACTAGATCTGGGAAAAGACTCTATTAGTTTAAGGCAATATGGAAGTTGATATGGATATAAGATCATAGAATGAGTCTACAATCAATAATTCAGCAAAAGCTAACGAAATTAAGTAAACTTATTTTTGCACTTAAACACGTCCAGCATTTTGGCATTTTCAGCAATGAGAAAGGAGTCATATGAAATTCACAGAACTGCAACTTGATGACACAGCCATGATGAGGGGATTGTCTGTCTCTAGATTAGGAGCTGGCAAAATCTTTCTGGAAAGTACTAGATAGTAAATATTTTCAGTTTTTCAGGCCATAGCATCTCTGTCACCACGACTCAGCTCTGCCATGGCACCACTGCAACACCTGTGGGTAGCGTGTAATGAACGGCTGTGTCTGTGTTTCAATTAAACGTTGTGTATGAACACTAAACTGTGCATATAGTCTTTACATCACAAATAGTAATTTTTTTTTCCAATTATTAACAAATATAAAAACCATTCTTAACCCACAAGCAGTACAAAAATTAGGCTGTAGGTTCTTTGGCTTTCAGGACATAATTTTATGGTCCTGGGCATAGTGGAATCGAAATAACCTATCTAAGGTCAGCTTTGAGGGGTTTTCTCTAAGGGGCAAGTCACAGCCCAAATATTTCTGAGCTACTAAATTGCAATGTATGAAAGTAGAAGGTGAAGATGAATGACTAGAAATATGTTTTGAATCATTTTCTAGGTAGGTAGGGAGCCAGTGAGGAATTAGAGTAGTGGAAGTAACAAAAGGACACTTTGGTTGTATGGGCCTAAACTCTCCCGTCTATGTGCTTTCTGATACTCCCTCTGTTTCGAGTAAAATTATTCCATTTGGTTGAGTGAGACTAATAGCCCCTCTCCTCTCTCAGTTATAGAAGTGGTCATATTTCATAGACCCAGTCAGAAGGAACATCTCCTTTGACTGTATGAGTAATAATCACGTAATTGTGATGGCTGACACCTGCAGTCCAAAGTTATAAAGTAGTTGTCATAACGGGTATAATTTTTTATTTCCTCTTTTGGACTTTAGGGGGAATGTTTCTGCCTCTATGACATGATGTTGGTGTTTGGCCTAATGTATATCTCTTGATTTATATTCTATGAAATTTTTTTTAAAGTAAGAATTTTTTGAATTGTTGTTCAAGGGCTTTTTTAGCATCACTAGAAATAATTCTATGGTTTTTCTCTGAATATCTAAATGTAATAATTTTTTTTTAGTATTTAATCATCTTTGTGTTTGTGAAATAAAACTCATTTGGTCATGATATATTCTTAATTAACGTTAATAAATGGGATTAAACTGTTGTTTTCTTTTTCACGACATTTTTGGGTTAGATATTATATCAGTGTACTTCTTTCATAAAAAGAATCTTTAAAAATTTCCTTTTTCCACATAATAGTTTAATTACAATCAAAATTATCTCCTTTGTGGAAAGTTTAGTGGTACTATAATGGATATATAATTATTCCTGGTAACTGTTTAAAAGACAACCTGGATTTTTTATTGATATCTAGTATATTTTTTCTATATTATGATGGATATTTCCAATCCAAACCAGTTATTTATATTTTTTAGCCTTTCACATACCAGGAAAATAAAAAAAAATATTTAAAATTAAGTTACATGATATAATCTTTAAAAAAAAA